GTTGTGAACATGAAAAGATAGAGAGAGAAAAAAAAAAGGGAATTTAATAGGAAATTTAAGTAAAAGTTATGATACTGTTTTTTCCTCCCTCTCTCCTTTCCTCTCCTCTCCTCCTCCCCTTCACCCCCAAGTAAAATTTCCATGAATGATTTTTTTCCCCTTTCGATTATAAAAACTAACCTTCAATTTTTTTTTAAAATCAATATATATATATATATATATAGAAATGAAAAACGATTTTAAATTAAATGTTAAAGTTTTTGATTTAGAAAAAAAAAAAAAAATTAATTTTACATGGGAGGTGTTTCTCCCACATAATAATAATAATAATATTACGAGCGACATTCTCATCATTGGTCATTCGATACCATTTAAAATGTTGTCTTACATTTATTAATGCATTTGTCGAGTTGCAAAACGTACAATGAAATTACATTTAAAAAAAACGAGTCGGCAAAAATTTTTTATTTTTACGACATTGTTCCCTTTCTAACAAACATATTTTATTTACTACTAAAAAGTTTTTACATTGTAATTGTAATAATTCAAAACATTGCTAACAAGTCGTCGTCGTCATTGTCGGCCGAAAGCAAAGAATTCACACAGTTTTCCCGGCGATTCTCCCTTTGAACAAGTTTAACAGTAATTAAAATTTTTTAAATTATTAAAATCACTTTTTTTAAAAAAAAAAAAAATAAATTAAAAGATTTGATTAATCCTGTTTTAAAAATTTATAACCGTGATGTGGTTCAAACCATTCAAAAAGATAGAGAGAGAGAGAAAGAGGGAGGGAAAAGGAGACTGTTGAAAAACAATAATGATAATCCTATCAAGTTGGAAATAGTAAATTTTTTTTTTTTTTTTTTCGAGTACCTGAACACACACATAATGTTTCTCGAGTACAGGAGGATTGTTTACATGTAACAAATTACTTTGAGTAACCGGTCAAACACGTTTATATTCTCCCTTCGCCCGTTCTTTTCATACTTTTACACGCTTACACACACACACACACACACACACACACACACACACACACACACACACACACACACATATATATGCATTCACAAAAAAAATATTAAAAAAAAAAAAAATGGCGGATTTATTTGTCGTCGTTGCAATAAAAATAAAAATAAAATTTTCACGCGAACCAACAACATATAATGTACTTTTTTAAGACCTTTTCCAAAAAAAAAAAAAAAATTCAGAAAGTTAAACCAAAAAAAAAAAAAAATAATAACAACCTCTTACGCGGCATAACTTTTAAATTTAACAACCTCCTCCTCTTTCTATTTTTTTTCTCTTTTTATTAATTAATAAAAACATGCTAAATATATAAAACCTACGTAGTATATGTGCTTAAACATTTCACAATTTAAAAAAAAAAAAAAAAAAAAAAATTATGCACGGGGTTATAATCGGACATATTTTATTATATTTCCGTTAAAAAAGAAAAGATAAAATTTAAAACGGAAATAAAAGAAATTTTTCAAAAGAAAAATTTTTACGATTCAAACAATTTTTCACACCGCAAGATAATTTTATATCGTTTACAAAAACTTTTCGTGTTTTTTTTTTTTTTGTCCTCAAATAATTAAGTTTGATGCTGTGAAAAAAAAAAAATGTAAACAATTATTATTATTATATTTGTAATGTAAACAATTTAACATATAATGTTAATAAATAATGTACTAACTATAAGCAAATCTGAACTGTAAGCAATGACTAAACTATAGCAAAACTGAACTATAGCAAATCTGAACTATAGCGAATCTAAACCATAGCAAATCTGAACTATAGCGAATCTAAACCATAGCAAATCTGAACTATAGCGAATCTAAACCATAGCAAATCTGAACTATAGCGAATCTAAACCATAGCAAATCTGAACTATAGCGAATCTAAACCATAGCAAAACTGAACGGTAGCAAATCTGAACTATAGCAAAACTGAACCCAACATTAGACGATGATTCACGCACGCAAACTTAATTTGCCAAAAACAAATTTCTTTTACCGACAGCAAAAATTCACTTTCGTAAAAAAAAAAAATTAAAATTTTAACGTTTGCTTTCACCGCAAAAAATAAGTAATAATAATAATTAGTATTATTATTTCCCCCACCTAAATTCCTCCTATTATTATTCTTATTCAAGTGTTTTAATGAAGTGTTTTTTTTTTTTTTTTTTTTTTTTTTTTTTTTAAGAAGAGTTCGTTACACGTTATATTAAAACTCACCGAGAGAGTTTTTTTATTCATTTTTTTTTTTTTTTTTTTTTACCCCCCTTCATTTTTTTTTTCTGAAACTTGGTTAGGTTCGTAATCGGCCTTGAAATTAAGCGTCGCCCACCTACCTAAAAAAAAAAACATAAAAACAAGCCCGCATGCTTACTTACTTTTTACTCGTACGTAATTTTTAAAAACAATAATAATAATAATAATAATAATAATAATAATTAAAATGCTGCGGCTTTTACAATTTTTTTTAAACAAAAATATTAACCTTTCCCCGCGTTCGCATAAAAAAAAAAACATTTAAATGATTAACTTTTGCTTATTGAAAGGTCATTGCTGGGAGCCATTCCTGTTATTCAATATAAAGTAACAGTTTGCTTTCGTTTTATTATTATTATTATTATTATTATTATTATTATTATTATCATTTCTACGTTTCAATGAGTTAAAAATTAATTAAATTTCAAATTAAATCATTATCGAAACGAATTCGCGCAATCAGAATTTAATCGACAACAGAAAAACAAATTTAAATTCAATCTCATTATTATTATTAATAAAATTTTTTTTTTTTTGCTCATTAGAAACTTTTTCCAGCTGACTCGTAAAAAAAAAAAAAATTTTTTTATTTTATTTTATTTTATTTTTCCAATAAAGATTTTCTTTTCAGATTATATATTTATCAGGTCAGTGTCCGAAAGAAAACATTCACGTTCGTAAACATTTTATTATAATTCTCTCTTTTTTGCCTGAATCATTTTTAGAGGCAAAAAAAAAAAATTAAAGCATCCGCCCATGTGGTCAAATAATAATAAATCATCAAATAAAAAAAAAAAAAACAAATATAAAAAAAAAAGAAAAAATGCGCCACAATAACCCTGATCAAATGAATTCATAAATTATACCAACTTTGCAAAAAAAAAAAGAAAAGAAAAGAAAAAAGTTGACAATACGTGGATTTCTAAATTCGAATTTACAGGGGATCCTTTTTTCTCTCTCACTTTTGGGTGTAAAGCCTTGTAACAAACAAAAAAAAATTTTTTTTTTTTTTTAAATCTACAACAAAGTTAATTTTTTATTTTTCTCTCTCTCTCTCTCTGGTTTTTTTGTACAAGTTGGTAAAGAAAAATTACTTTTGTAACATTTAAAAGTAAATTCATTTTTTTGTTTCTTTTTTTTTTCTTTTTTCTTGTACCGACAAGCTTTGTTCGATTTTTTTTTTTTTTTTTTTTTGTATTTATATCTTTTACATTCGTAAAAAATTTTAAACTTAATTTTTTTTCCCTTTTATTTAAATGACAGTTTGAAAAGAAAAAAAAAAACCTTTTTCTCCATATTTTATTACTCTTTTATAAAAAAAAAAAAAAAATTTTTTTCAAAGGATTCGACCTCGGTTACAACAATTTCTATTTTTTTTTTTTTTTTTGTTGTCATCCTCAAAAAATCATACCTGCAACTTTTTTTTTTTTTTTTTTTTTGTAAACTCTAACCCATGTAATTATTTTTAAAAAAAATTATTTTAATTATAAATAAATGCCTGGATGTAATTAATTAAAATATCTGATTTTAAATTAAAGACTCGCGAGTTCATCAATAAGATCTAAAAGTTCATCACAAAACGCGAAATAAATGAAAAAAAAAAAAAAAATATATATGAAAAAGTGTCATTTTATACAAAAACCTTTAAATTTTTTTTTTTTTTTTTTTTTTTACTACAAAAAACATAAAACTATACGAATGCGTGTAAAAACAAAAAAAGAAAAATTCATATAAAATTTTTATTACTCTAAAAAAAAGTTTTAGTAATGTGGGGCGTAAAAAAAAAAAAAATAAAGTATGATTACCTTATTCATTTAAACTTCATTAGATTAAAAAACATTTTTTAAAGTGAATTATTATTTAAAAAAAAAAAAAAAAAAAAAAAAAACGTATATTAAATTAAAACAACAAAACCCTTCAAACAACTTTTTTTTTTTTTTGTATAAAACCCCCAAACTTTTTTTAAACTAATAAAAAATCTTTATTAATATGAAAAATTCTTTTTCTGATAAAACATTTTCAATCGCTTAACAAACACAAATTAAACCTTTTCGAAAGCATGTGTGATATTTATGATAAATCTTAAATTTATTATTAAAACCCCCTCCCCCTCCTCCCCCGAAAAAAAAAAAATTCCTAAGGAATTCCATTTCCTTCCCCACGTCCTTCCTTCCTTCCTTCCTTTTTTCCCTCTGACAATTTAAAAGGTAAAAAAAAAAAAAAAAAATTGAACAAACTTTATAACGACGTTTTACCTTTCAAGTAATAAAGAATAATTTTCCCGGCGGGGAGGAGGAGGAGGAGGAGGAGGGGAGTGGGAGGTTTTCCTAATCAAACAAACGAAGTAAAAAAAGAAAAAAAAAGAAAAGGAAAAAGTTTTCTTATGATTTCCGATCGAAATTTAAAATTTATCGTTACTTAATTGATTTCTGCTTTAATGCTTCAGCACAATTAATTAATACAATTTTCTAATTTGAAATTTAATTTTTAAAATCTTTCCTTATATACATAAAAATCCCAACAAAAACCTAGCTTATATTGGAAAAAATTATTATTATTATTATTATTTATATTGACTTTTTCTTATAAATGAGAATTATAAAAAAAAAAAAAAAAAAAATATAAAAATAAAATAATTTGTAAGTGAAATTTTTATGAATGTAAAATAATAAATTATAATTTAATTTTGAATTCCCCCCCCCCTTTTTTTTTAATGAATCAAAATTAAGATTGATTAACTTGGAATAAAATGAATAAATAAATTTTTAAGGCTCGATAAGTGATTGAATTTTTTTTTTTTTTCTGTATGATGAACATTTGAATCTTTAAAGTAATTTATGAATTCAATATATATCATTTTTGTTGACAACATTACATGTGTAGTCTTATTAAATTAAATTAATTTAATTTCTTACCTTCTACATTTCCCATTGCCAAAATGGTTATCGTTTTGATTGCAGGCACAGCCCAAGCAGCCAAGTGAAAATAATGAGAATTTGCTTCGATGGCTTCATGTCCCCATTTCAGACCAGCAGCAAGGAACCATGTAAGTGTGAGAACAACCCACCATATCGATGAAGCCATACTGAAGAAATAAAGCACCATAAAAAGTATAGTACAAAATTCATGTTTTGTTCCCTGAGTGATAGTCGAAACCATTTTTAAAGTTGGAAATTCGATAGGCGGTGGAAAAGGTTCTCTGCAAGCCACTGTATCACCAGCAAAAAAACCAATCACATACACTATAGACACCATTAGATAGCATACAGATAAAAATATAATAGGCCTTTCAGGATATTTGAATCTTTTGGTATCAATCATAAATGTTAACACTGTAAATAAACAACTAAAAAGGCAAAGAAACGACCAAACACCGATCCACAACTTTGAAAATTTTCTGTCAGTTTCAGAAAAAAACATACCGTCACACGGAGCACCGCAGTCTTTTTCGATTTTGTCACCCACTCTAAAAGAATATTCCTGACCTTTAGGCACTTTAAATTGGGTAGGACAAACAAATCCAAAATCTCTTGCCCCATCCGGAAGTGATGGATATATTCTTGATAAATGTGTGTCTCCCTGTCTACGATTCCCAAAATCGTTTCTAGGGAATCCTACAGGATACTGATGGGTTGGATTAGGCGTTGAAGTTGTGGAACTCGTACGATTTTCTCCGAAACAAAGTACTGGGTTTTTCGATTGACTTTGGTTTACTTCAGGAAAATTATCACATTCGAATTTATCAGGCCAGAAAAATCCGAATTGATTCATGAGATCTTCGCATCCTTTCCTAGCAGATATGCATAATGATCTGCACGGCGGAAGAGGGTTAGGTAAAATCGTACACACGGGAAAATATAAAGAGCATAAGAATAACTGCACGGTTGGACTACATTTAACTTTTAGTAAAGGAAAGTACTGATGAACATCCAATCCGGCATCTTCTTGTTTAGTATGACCCAAAAGATTTGGCATGATAGTTTCATTGTATTGAAGTCCCATGCAAAATGGAATTTTAATTTGTTCGCACTTTCCATGCTGTGGGGATGTATCAAAATCGTCATGTGAAGGACCTCCTAAACTTGTGCTTAGCACAGTACCAAGTACCAAAGGTACCCAAGCTATCCCTTTGGCTTTCATGATTGAATCTATCAACGCAAACCCATATATTTTGTTTTATTTAAACTTATTATTGTTCTAATTTTACACATTTTCACTTTATATTTTTATCACTGATTTTAACACATTAAAAAAAAAAAATTTCACAAATTTTAAACTACATGTTTGTAAATACCGATTATAACTTAAGTTGGCGACGTCGCGTTCCCACATCATATTCTACTACAAACGCATAGCGAACTATTGCCACCGCTATGGTTAAAAAAAAAAATGCGACTGCAGCGCCAATGTTTCAATGCCTCCTTTATACTAATATTTTATGAATGGTATAAAAATGATACTAAATTTTATAAAATTAATGTCAGTTAACTTATTTTTAATTTTGTTTATCATTTATTTGTTTTATTAAAATAAACTTTCGTTTTAATTAAATATTTTTTTAACACGATTTTAAAAAAAAAATTTCCTAAAAAATTGTTTTAGGATACATGCTAAAATAATAATGTTGCATGAAAGTAACAAAATTACTCTGGATTTAATTTTCAGAAAATTTTGTATAAAAAATTTAATAAATTATTAATTACACCTAGTTTAAATTTTTACTATTTAAAAAAAAAAAATTTAGAAATTTATTATTGAATTTCAATACTGTAATTAAATATGAGACGTGAACTGGACTAATTTAAAGAAACTAGAAAATTAATTAGTATAAAAAATTTATTAATGCTTACTTACTTAAAAAGAGTAAGTTTTAATACATTTTCAGTTACTAATTATACAATTATTTTAATTTAACCCAAAGATATTGGGTTTACTTAGCATTTCCATTTAAGATCAGCAATCAATGCTACATGGTCTGATGGAAAAAATGTGCTTGGTAAAGCTACTTCCCTACTTAAATCATCCAGACTTGGAAAAGGAACAAAACTCTCCAATTCTAATCTGTTGTTTTGAAAATAAATATAATCTAAGCATGCTTTAAATCCTTTAGTGTAATTAGTAAACTCTGGTGTACCACAAGCACTTATCATTTTCACCGAATGATTAGCTGAATATCCATCAACTGCTTCTTCTAAATCTGAAATTAATTTAATTTTAGTCAAAAATCAATTTTTAAGATAAAATAAGTTTTAAATAACAATCAATACTAACTACTTTTCCAGTCAATTTCTGAGCCTTCAATATATCCTTCAGTTATATATTTATAAACTCCACAATCTGGAGTACTGTTAAAATCTCCACAAAATATTATCGAAACATTTATGTCAGGCAACTAAAAATTTAAAAAAAATCTGTTCTTAGTAAAAATTTTTTTAAAAAACATTTACAAAAAAATAAGAAATACCAACTTTTCTTTTTAATTCATTTGCTGTATTATTAAGTAGGTCAAAACCCATGATTCCTTGCAATAAACGAATGTGATCAGCATCAGGATGAAAATATAAATGTGTATTACCAACAACTAAATAATCATTTGCAGATGTTAAAGATTTTAAAACAACCACTTGAAGTAAAGTTTGTAAACTATTTAATCTTGTAACCAATTTGTTATTATTATAAATTATTTCTTTCAAATTTTTAAAAATCTTATTATTTTTAAGTTCGACAGCATATAAATATTGCACATGATCAATAAATTCAAATTTTGATTTTTTATAAAACATAGCACATCCTTCCCTGAAGCCTTCTTTTTTATTATAAACACTATTGAAATTTTTAAAATTACAAAATGGTAAAAATACTGTGTCATATAATTTTTTATCAACTTCTTGTAAACAAATTATATCAGAATTATACCCAGTTAATTCTGTTAATAATAATCTTTTCCTGTTTTCTAAATCAAGGGCATCAGAATTACAATAAGCGAAAATAGAGTTTTTGGCTTCTTTTGTATTAGTATATGTATCTGCTAAAATGTTATAACACACAACACGAATTTTTTCAGGTTTCGTTTCACTTTTGGTAAATTCATGCCTTTTTTTAATTAACTCTGTTTCATTGAATGGTGTCACAAGTTTTGGACAATCAACATGATATTCCGATCCTATTTTGTTTTCACTTTTAGGAATGCAGACAAGTTTTATATTATAACCTATGTCTTCTTCCTTTGGAGTATAAAAAAAATTGTCTTCACAGTAAATCCAATCTCTGTGGTGTGGTAATTTTTTATACCATTTAAAATTTGAATGTTTCAAATCACCGCTTAAAATAACAATTTCAGAAGGAGAAGTTGGACATCCCACTTTAATTTCTTTAGGTGGTTTTATGACTGATACATACGGCCAATTAATAAAAGCGTTATAATCAACACCCAATATATTTAATGTAATTTTGTTTTTTTCATGTTCTTCAAACATATTTTGAAAAGTCAATTCATCTGAGATTGGTTCATCGTTTGAAAAAAATTTCCCAATTACATTAATACTATTATTATCATCATTAGTTTTATCTTTCTTTCCCGATTTACTACTCTTTTTGACTAAATCTTCCACTCGTCCGTTTAATTTAATTAAAAACTTTCCAAGATTTTCCGATAAGTTTCTTTGAAATGATATTACTTTAGTGATTTTAGGAACGTCGTTATTTAAAAATAATTGAATTTGAACTTTATCCGGGTTTTCCAAGTGAAAGAAAATTGATTTCATATTTACAATTACTTTAAAATTATTGTAATTATAAGAAACAGACGATGATAATCTGGTTAATCTCTTTTGCAAAAAAGAAAATGCTTTTAATCCTCTCCTAAAAATGACGAATAAATTAATTAGTAACAATAAAAAAATCAAGTTTAAATAAGGCATAAAAATAATTTTATTACATTACATATTTGTACCTTCCGCGAATTTTAATACACACTGAATTCAATAATTCAAAAAAAAAAAAAAAAAAAAAAAAATTATCCCATCATAAAAAAAAAGTTTTTCCTATCATAAAAAAAAATTAGGCATATGTTGAATGGATTAATTTGTATAAGTCATAGAGGTTATGAATTAACTTATGTACAGTAGAATTCTAACAACCTTATATCGTTGAACCTCACGTGTAAATTATCTAAATATTTTTTAATAATTTTACCTGTTTAATTTTTGTAATATATATTACATTGAATGGTAGAGTATTAATAATTATTTCAATTTAATTTTTTTTAACTTTTCTAAACGATTTTAAATTAATAAATTAATGTTACGAATTAGCCGCCTAAAATTATTACACATAATTTCACAACCGTTGATCTAATTTACTTTAACAAATTTTTTTTTTACAATTATAATTATAGAAAATGTCTGATTCAAATAATAAAACAAATGGTGAAACTCACCAAGAAAATCCACAGAACGATGATAAATCTGAAAACGATAATTCAAAACCTGTAGATATAAATGAAGAAATTTTGAAACAAGTAGAAGTGAGTTGAATAAATTTTTCGTTTTCAAAAAACAATCATCTGGAAATAGACATTCCAACACCTGAAATTAATAAATTTAATTTTTAGTATTATTTCGGAGACAATAACCTTCGTAAAGACAAATTTATGTTAAATCAAATCAAGATGGATGATGGATGGATTCCCATGTCGGTTATGCTAGAATTTCGAAGACTCGCCAAATTATCATCTGATCCAAAAGTCATTGCCAACGCATTAGGAAAATCAAAATTGATAGAGGTTAGTAATCAAATTTTGTTATGGATTAGTATAAGTTATATCTAAAGTTTAAATAATTAAATTTATTTTAGGTGGATGAATCTGGAGAAGAAATTAAAATTCGAAGATCTCCAGATTATCCATTGGAAGAATTAACTTCTGAAAAATTTATGGAATTAAGATCGAGAAGTATTTACTGCAAAGGTTTTCCCCTTGATTACACAATGGATGATTTAATAACATTTTTTAATAATTATGGACCTTTTGAAAATATAATTATGAGAAAATACAATGATAAATTAAGTAAAACATATAAATTTAAAGGTTCTGTTTTTGTTACTTATGCAACTAAGGAAAAAGCAAAAGAATTTTTAGATTTAGAAAGTGTCAAATGTAAAGATCGAGAATTAATTAAAATGTGGCAGTAAGTAGTAAAATCCAAGTTCAATATCTCAATTTTATAATCATTTTCATCCATTTATAAATAATTTTTTCCTTTTTTTTTTTTTTTTTTTTCAGATTACAACATGTGGAAGAAAAAAAACAAGAACTTTTGAATTACAAATTGAAAAAAAATAAAAAAAATAATGGTGAAAATGATAAAAATGATGTAGGTGTTTAATTTATTATTGTTTTCTCGTGTTGTTTGCCGAAACTTTTTTTTTTTAATTTTTGTTTTTTTTTTTTTTTTTTTTCTATAATAGGTGAAAGAACAATTTCCAAAAGGAACCATTCTTCACCTTGAGGGTGATTGCAGTCAACTGACAAGAGAAAATATTAAGGATAAATTTAATAATTTAGGATATGAAGTTGCATTTGTTGAATATAACAAAGGAGAAAAAGAAGCTCATGTTCGATTTAGTAAAGAAAATGCAGGAAAAGATGTAAATATTAATAAATACAGATTTAAGGGATAAATCATGGACGTGAGGAATAATTTTTTTTTTTTTTTTTTTTTTAATTATAGTTTATCGAAAAAGAAGGTAAAGAAATAAATATTGAAAATTCAAAAGTTCAAGCAAGATTATTAGAAGGAGAAGAAGAAGAAAAATTTCTCATAAAAGCCATGGAAGATAAAAAGGCGTATTTAAAAAAATGTCAACAAGCTAAACAAGGAGGTAGAAGAGGGAGGGGTAAAGGAAGAGGGAAAAATAATAAAAGAAAAGGAAATGCGGAAGTTGAATCACCTCCGGCTAAAAAAGTTGCAAGTGAAAATTAAACTAACAAACGACAAACGGGAAATAATAAACGAGAATAATAATAATAATAAATAATAATAAATAAATAAATAATTTTTTTCTTTTTTTTAATTTTGTAATGAATGATGATATTTACAAAGTCAACTTATTTTATATTTTATTTGTTTTACGAGGCTCGTATAAAATATTTTCCGAAAAAAAAAAAAAAAAATTATTATTATTATTGTTATTTTAAAAAAAAAAAAAATTATGAATTGTTTTCAGTAATAAAATATTGAAAGCGTATAGAAAATGTTTTTTTTTTCTTTTTTGTTATCAACGACCTTATAAACTTTTTAAAATCATTCACGAATAAATAAATACATTTTTTTTTGTAAATTATTTTACTATTGTCGTATTTAATAAAGAAAAAATAATAATAATAATAAACGAACGAAAATTATAGAGATCAGAAAAAAAAAAAAAATTTGTTAGTTGAGTTTTTTTTTACATTATTATTATTATTATTATTATTATTATTATTATTATTTATTCGAAGATGAATTGGACACGCGATTCGTAACCGAACAATTTTTACTTAAAGAAGTTGGAATGAAAAAATTTGCCATTTGATGAGCATCTAATTTTGGCACTTTGTTTGATGGTGAATGAACATCCCTACTCGTCGATGGAATGCTTTTATTTGTATTCCGAGTAGAGGAAGATCCGCTCCTGGATCCGGAAGTGGTTCGCGGTTGCGTGTAATTAAAATACGAATTGGAAGAGGGAGGAGGAGGAGGAGGTTTCATCAAACCCACGCTTGGATCCGGTTTGTAAGAAGCGGCTGCGGCAGCCGCGGCCGCTGCCGCCATGGGCGGAAGAAACATACCACCAAGTGAAAAACTATTCAAGTTCAACAAAGATTTCGTAGCCGGATCTAAACTTATCCCTGGATATTTTGCCGAACCGAATAAAGCTGCGAGATCTGATCCGACGAAATAATTATTCAGACTAGCTAAGTTTTTACTAGAATCTCTACTACTAGAATTCGATCTTTTCCCACTCGATTTTGTTTTCGAACGTGATTTGTTATAAGGAGTTACGCTAGGAATCGAGTTAGTCCCGGATTTTAAATTCAATGAGGTAATAGGAGAAGGAACGTTGGGAATGTTATATTTGGGTTTTTCTGGTACGGGTGCAGGTGCAGGTGGTGGCGGCGGTGGTTGTGGTACAACCACGCTTGGGTGACTGGAAATATCCACTATTTGTTTAAGTATTTCAGTCTCGGACTTATTTGTTGATACTTCCGTGATGTCCTGAATATATTTCCAAAGAGTTTCACTTTTTGAATGATTTAAAGGAAATTTTTGAGTTAATGACATTCTCAGCTTTTCTATAAATTTCACTGGTCCTTTGAAAATTTCAGGAAACCTTATGTAATCCGTTTCCGGCTTATAAAAATCTGCACACTTTTTCTAAAAATTAAATAATACAATTATAGTTAAAAGAAAAAAAGAAAAAAAAAAAATGTTTTTTAGAATTTCTTAATAAAGTACCATCTCTAATAAAACATCATGAGAAATTGACTGATCCTGTACAAGTGTGTAGCTCATCATCATAGGCTTCCCATATTCGTGTATTTTATTTTCTGGAGGAGGTACCACCCAATAACTAACAATATTCGATTCAAAGGATGGATTGTCAAAATTATATGGAGCTAAAAAACAGTAAAAAAAAAAAAAATATTACAAAAAAATTATCTCAAATAAAAAACTTTTTAGGTTCACTTGCGAAAACTTACAACATATAAAACCGATGCATGGCAAATAATTAGAATCATTAACTCCTTTCATTTTAAGTTCAAAATCTAATTGCATTTCTATATCTCGAATACTCGGAGTGGGAGGAGCTGTAGGATGAGAATGATACCATCCGATTAAAGTCAATCCATTCGATGAAATTGTATTTCGAATGTCAGCTTCAACATTCGGAGAAGATTCATAATCACTTAGTCTACACTTACAAGGTAAGGCTAGAGTAATACTTAAATCTAAAAAACAACAACAAAAAAAAAATGGTAATTTTTAATAATTTTTCCATCTTTAAAATTAAAAAATTAATAATAAAAGTATTTTATTAAGGAAAGGATATATACTATGAGTATTGACATCCCAAGTTCCAGCTAAATAACCGACTACTTCCGAACTAGTTAAATGAGAATGATAATCCATTACGAGAGCAGCATTTGTTGATAATGTTATTAAAAAAGGTTGAATTTTTCCCATCGATGTAAATGTAATACTTTCAACAAGGACGTTTGGATCACTTAATTATAAAAGAGAGAGAAAAAAAAAAATGATATCACTTTTTGAAATTTACAACAAACTAAAAGGATTTTATAAAAAAAAAAAAAAAAAAGAAAATTACTTACTGACTAGGTATTTTGTTGCCTAATATACTATGTTTAACAATTATTCTTCTTTTATGTTCAAGTTGTGGCAAGGGAGGTGGTAAAGGAACAATTTCAATTTCAGGTTTTTCATTTTCAACAGGTTTTTGAGATTCATTATCTTTCGAAGGAGAAACAGGTTTTTCTATTGTTTCATCTGTTTCAGTTTGAACTGATACTTTTTCTTTTTCCTCTCCCGAACATGGGTTTTCTTTCGGAAGTCCATCTTGAGATTCGATTGGTTTATTCGATATTTCAATAACTTCTTCACTAGGTTTAACATCCATTTAGTATACTGTAACATGTAATATTATTAAAAATTAACTTATTCAAACTATTGTTAAATAATTGTACCTTCATAAACTTACCGAGTATTTAATTACTTTTCCATATTGGAGACCCTGGTTTTGTAAAAATTATGAAAATTATATAAAAAATATTTTTCTGGAAGAATTAGAATTAAATAATGTTCTTTTTATTGAAAAAATTCCTTTTTAACAGCATTAAGAAAAACAAATATAAAATATTCAGATACCTAAAACAATCAATTTAATTACTATTAATAAAATACAAAAAAAAAAAAAGTACAATTTTAATAAAATTTTTAAATTTAATAATATTTATTCTTACAAAATAATGAATTTTCATATTAAAATTAAGAAAAATCTTCAGAATAATGATCTATTAAAGCTTTTATCCTTTAAAAATTGACACTTCATATTATTTATTAACTGAATAGTAGAAAAATCTAAAAAAAAAATAAAAAATTTACTTGTATTGAACATTCAAAAAAAAAAAAAAAACTGTTATGCTAAAAGTAATTACAAATATTTAATTTTAATTTAAAAAAAAAAACTTTTGTAGTTTCTAATTCGCCTATCATTCTAATAAAAATTATTTAATTTATACCTTGCGTACTTAATAAAATTAATTAAAATATTTTGACAGTAAAGTATGAGTTTTTTTACCTGTCAAAAAAAAAAAAAAAACTAAAGGTAAACAAGAATATAATTCATATAAAAAGAGAATACAATGAATTTTGCATTTAGATAAAATACAAATTTGAAAAAAAAAAAAACATTTATATAATATTTACTCACTTGATTCTAATTAATGATTTATTTTTATGTAAAAACAATAAAACATAAACAAAATTAATTGATATTTATTTTAATTTATTAACAACAGTATGACGACGATTAAAGACGCCTAAAGTGGCAATTACTTTACAATAGTATTACTTGAAAACAAAGTTATGAATGGAAACCGGAAATAACCTAGCAGACAAATTTCAAATTAATAATTCGGCTTCTATAAATTCAGTTTAGGTTAATAAATGCTTTTTTAAGCTTAAAACTTGAATTTTTTTTTTTTTTTTTTTCGTTAAATAAAAAATATGCTAGCAGCAAATTTAGAGGCTTTAGCACAAAATTTAGAAAAACAAGAATTAGAAGTAAGTATTCATTTATTTATTTTATACTTTTTTTTTTTTTTTTAAAACGTAATTAGATTATTTGTCATATTTACATAAGTCATACATGAAAGTTGATTGTTTTTATAAGTAATGAAATGTCATTTTTTAATAATACACATTAAAATTATTATAATTTATTTTAGAATGCAGCATCTGGTGCAACGGTATCACCTCAATTATACTCTCAATTATTAGCAATATATTTATTACAAAATGATTTAAATAATGCTAAATATTTATGGAAGAGAATACCCCAATCAATTAAAACAACTCATCCGGAAATTTTTAATATTTGGAAAGTTGGACAAAAAATGTGGCAAAGGGATTTTCCGGGAATATATGAAGCATTAAACAGACAGTGGTCTAATGATGTTGCTGAAATTATGCAGAAACTATTGGGTAAGTATCTAGTGATAATATTACAAAAATAATTTACTCTTTGTAATTTAATTGTAATTAACTAATTTTAAATTTATTAAACATTTAATTTTAGAAAAAACACATCAAAGAGCTGCAAATTTAGTTGCTACAGCATATTCTTCTCTCAGTGTTGATGCCTTGGCTGCATTTACGGGTCTTTCAATCGAAGAAGCCATTCAACAGGGCTTGGATGCTGGATGGCAAATAGATAGAGAAACAAACATAGTTAAACCATGTAGACCTGTTAATAATATAGTTCAAGTTGTTAGTTGCGAAGATCAAATTAGTAAACTTACAGATTTTGTATCCTTTCTCGAAAATTAAAATACAAATAATCTATTTTTGTTTTTTAATTTTATTATTTATTGATTTTTTTTTTTTTAAACTAAAAATCTTATTTTTTTTTTTTTTTTGTACTTTAAATTAAATTTTATTACAAAAAAAAAAAAATTTAATTCTTAAAATTATTATTATTTATTATTAATATATGAAGAAAAAAAAAACATTTTTTTAAAAATTTATATTTGTGATTCTTCAAACATTGTACATTTTAATGTTCATATTCGATTATATAAATAATAATAATAATAATAATAATAATAATAATAATAATAAATTTAATGCTAACATTTATAAGCTATCGATATTTAAATAAAAAATAAAAAATAAAAAAATGAAAAACCAAAATTTTTTTTGTATCACAGTTAAAAAACAAAAAAAGTTACTAAAAAATTTTTTGTTTTTTATCACTCGCTTTATAACTTTAATTTTTTTTTTTTTTTAAGTTAAATAAAAGCAAATTGTTGTACAATATTTATTTATTTATTTATTTATTTATAAATTACTCTTTTCAAATAATTAAAATTAATTAATTAAAAATTTAAAAAAATTATCATGGAATAAATATGAACAAAATAAACAAAACCTTTTCTTTTTCAGTTCACAAGGTCAAATTATATATTTCTCAATGTTTTCCACATACATTTTTTTTTTTTTTTTTATAATGTCAGTATATTTAGTATAATTTAGCGTATATGTATATTGTTAAGCATTAAAAAAAAAAATGTCATCGTTTTTTTTTTTTATAAATTTTTACGACCGTTACAACTTTCTATTACATATATATATTTAAAAAAAAAAAAAAAACATTTAACAATAATTATTATTCATTCGATCATTTATAATTTTTATTAACTTTCAAAACCGAAACCGAAAAACCCGGGTTAAAGACATTTTTTTAAATTTTCTTACGACATAATGATTTGACTATTGTTGATTAAAAAAAAAAAAAAGTTTGCGTTTAAATGATTTTATCCCGGAAGTTATCAAAAATTTTAATTTTCAACCATTATCACAACCCAACCAACCTTTCTCGGGTTATTTAAAGTTATTAATTAATAATTTACACTACGTCATCATGATTAATGATTGGCACGTGTAAAAAAAAAAAAAAAAAAAAAAAA